GGGTGGCTCAGTGGGCTAAAGCCTCTGCCTTCGGCTCGGGTCATGATCCCAGGCTCCTGGGATCAAGCCCCGAGTTGGGCTCTCTGCTCAGTGAGTAGCCTGTTTCTCCTCTCTCTCTGCCTGCCTCTCTGCCTGCTTGTGATTTCTGCCTGTCAAGTAAACAAATAAAATCTTAAAAAAAAAAAAAATTATGGCAGGTCATCGGTGTAGCAGTAAAAAGTTTGACTTTGCTCAGGGGACAAACACCAGCTAGAGAGAATTTTTGAGCAGGGGAATGTCTGGTTTAGGGCTGTGCTTTGGACTGATAAATCTGATTTTACTTTCCAAATGTTTAAAGTTTTTGAGCTTCATGCAGTAGGTTTTGGGTCTAGGAAAGCCCCGATATTAGCACTAACTTCGAGGGTAGAGCTGGCCTCAAGACACCCAAGATGTCCAAGCGCCTCAGGGAATTCACACGGTTGTAGAGTTTGCTACTCCTCAGGACTTCCCATTACACTTGGCGTAAGGCCGACTCCAGCCTTAGCCCGCTGTCCCGCACACTCTCCCACCCTCCCATGGTGATGGCTTCTCATGTTCCAGTCTCCACTCCCGTCCCCCTCATGCGGGCCTTCTCTGCCCCAATCACTCTCAGGCCCAACAAACCACAGGTTGGCAAGAGGCAAGCCGTGGGGACAGCGAGGCCCTTGATGCTGTCGTCGTATAACCTCTCTCCAGGCCGGGGGCATATCTGCTTCCATCCACATTGGCCACCCAGCTCCTGGCACCCCAAAAGGCCAAATTCGGGATGAAATACATGAATCCGGGCCCTTCTGGCGTGGAAACCAAGGCTGGCGTCCCAGGACTTGGGCTAGAATAATTCAGCAACGAAATGTGAACTAGACGTTTCTCCACACCGCGGGGAGGCTTCCCGGAACAGCTGCACCGCGCGGGGAGGCTTCCCGGAACAGCTGCACGGCTCGCCCCTCCGGGGTGGGGGAGGGCATGGGGGAGGGGGGGCCTGCGAGGCACTCCCAGCCTGTGGGTGTTTGGAAGACAAGTCTGGAAGCGCCGTTCTCGAAGAGCAGCCACCAGAAGCAAGCCCCTGCCTCTGCGGGCAGAGAGGCGCCATCGGAATGGAGAACGGCCATCTCCGGAGGCCTGGCGGACAGACTCAGCCGTCCGCTGTCCCGCAGCGGGACGGGACAGGAGTGCTGTGGGGACAGACGGCGCAAGCAGCAGGGTGGACAGAGCAGCTCGCATGGACCGGCCAGGCCCGATCCGGCGGGACTCTGCCCACCGTGTCCCCCGCCCCCAAGTTGTGCGTGGAAGCCCTCGCCCAGCACCTCGGAATGGGACTGGATCTGCAGCTGAGGCCTTGAACGCCCGGCAGCATAGCTGTCATCAGTCGGGATTCTCTCGAGCAGCAGGACCCGCAACGTGCCCATCTATGCCTGCGTCCCTAGCTCTGTCCGTCCGTCTGTCTGTACGGACAGCTCGAGTAGTGAACCGGGTACGCGGGTATGGAAGCTGGCAAGCCCCAAGTCCGCGAGGTGAGGGGACAAGGCCAGGGTGCAGCTCCGGTCCGAAGGCCCACAGGGTCAAGGCCCGGGGACAGCCAGGGTTTCAGCGGGAGCCTGATGGCAGGCGAGACCCGGGACCCCCTCAAAGGCAGCGTCCAGCAGGAGGAAGGCGGTCTTCTTCGGGGAGGGCCGCTCGGGCTCTGCATTCACCCCAGGTTGTCGGGGGGTGAGGCCCGGCACCGTGGGGACAGCCCCGCTCCCTCGCCCCGCAGAGAGAAGGAAGGAGCAGTCAGGACGAGGCCCGTCTGCCTCAGTCCAAACCCCATGAGCGACGAGGAGGAGGAGGTTGTGTCGATGCCCGTGCATGTGTGCCTGTGGTGTTTATCCTCTCCTGCGACAGCTTTGCCCACACACAGACGCTCCCCGGGGGGAAGCTGAGAAAGTGAGTGACAGTCTCTCTGTGCCCAACAACTGCTTGGACCAGGCCCAGAGAACGAAGCGCTGGAAGATGAGGCTCAGGCCCTCCTGGGACGGGCCAGCAGGCTGGGCACGGGGAGCTCCTGCCAAGGCGAGAGCAGCAGCGGAGGGGAGAGTCGGCCGCGCTGAGTGTTTGTGTCCCCTGCAGGACCAAAGTGCCTTCACTGGTCAGTGGCCATTCATTGGGCGCTGGGACCAGCCCGGCCCGAGGTCAGGGTCCCTCAGGCCAGCAAAAGCATCCTGGGCCCCGGGGCTCTTACAGGGCAGACAGGGAGATGAGCGATCAGTATCTGGTGAGGCCCATATGGACACAAGGGGTAACTCCCAGGAGAGGCTCAGGGGACTGACCCCTCCGGGGGTCCTGGCTGTGACCCTATGGGTGGATAACGTGATCCCTGACCCCTGGGCTGGGGTATGCATTTGGCCCTCCCTGAACCACCCCCCGGGTAACACTCTCACGCTATTTCTCTCATTCTCTCGTGGGCTTCCTGGGGGTGGCCCGTGGGGGCCCCACGGTGCCCCGTGGCTGCTGCAGAATTTCACACTGTGGCAGAGACGCCATGTGTCTAGGACGGCTCCTAGCAAGCAGGGCAGCCGAGGCAGGTGCAGGGGTGATTCTAGCCCAGAGCAAAGTTCAAGATGGGGCAAACTGGGTTTGGGAGGATTGAGAACTTGGGTAAAAGGGTTTTTTGGATCTTCGGTCACTCTTGCCGTGTGTGTAAAACCCTCCTGAGATCTTGGGGTGAAAGCCCAGGGCTGAGGGCCCTCAGGAGGCCATCCCACAAATAGCCCAGCCTCACGTGAGCGTGTCCCCACGTTGTATGAGGCTAGGCTGGCTCGTGATGCAGTAATCAGTGACCCCAGATCTCGGTGGCGTACGTAACAGAGGTTTATTTCTGGCTCCTACAATTCATCCAAGGCGGGGTCGGTGGGTAGGAGAGGGAGGTCCTGCCCACCAGAGTCTCCTGGGAACCTGGGCCGGCAGAGGGGCTCCGTCTGAGGCGGGCTGCTGCCTGGCCAACGGCTCCCAGGCTCTTGAAGTTCCGGCCTGCAAGTGACCCTCACTTGTGCTCCTAGTCCGTCGGCCGCAGCAAACCGCAGCTAACGCCCCAGCAGGTGGGGGTCACGCGCGACAGTGTCCAGGGGAGGAGAAACGGTATCTGTGGGGCCCTCGGGAGGCCGCGGTGGGGAGGCTGGCTGGTGGAGAGTGATGGGGGCAGGAGGGCTGCCCTTCTCCACCCAGACTGAGCCAGAAGCAGGCAGAAGCAGAACGGCCTCGGGGGCTCGTGGTCCCTCGCAAGCGTCACCTTCCCGAAGCTTTCTCAGCAGACTGTGGAATCCAGGTTAGAACCTTGGGCTGCACCCGACTGTTCTGACTTTGTTATGGCGGTCAGCAGGAAATCAGCACATCAGGGCCAGGGTTTAAAGAACCTTCAGGAACCAAAGGGTGTTTTTTTGTTTTGTTTTGTTTTTTTGTTTGTTTGTTTGTTTTCCTGTTGTTGGAATTTCGGAAACCAAGGAGGAAAAAAAAAAATGAAATGAGGACAGGAATACTATTTTAAAAGAAAACAGAAGCAAAGGCACCTTTGCCTTTGCCAAACACTGGACAAACACAAGGATGGGCTGAAGGAAGGTACCCTCTGGAGAGCGTGACTTGGGATGCCGTGAGCTGCTGGGTTCCAAAGCCAACAGGAGGAAGGGCTCTGTCTTCCCAGCTCTCTGTGGCAAAGGCAAAGCTGCTGAGCCAGAGACGGGCAACAGGAAGACATTTGCTGAGGTTGGTGGCAAGGGGAGGTCATAGAAACAGGAAGATGTAGGGATCCTGGGTGACTCAGTGGTTAAGCGTCTGCCTTCAGCTCAGGTCATGATCCTGGGGTCCTGGGATCGAGTCCTGTGTCTGGGCTCCCTGCTCAGCAGAGAACCCTTCTCCCTCTCCTCCCTGCTCGTGCCGTCTCTCTCTCTCTCTCTCTCTCTCTCAAAATCTTTAAAAAGAAACAGGAAGATGCTTGCTGGGCTTCTGTGCCTGCTTTCATCAGGCTGGAGCTGCCTGGGTCCCAGCCCTCCCTCCACTTTTAAGGCCCTGGTTCGTCAGGTCTTGTTAACTGTCACTTCTCTGGTAAGTGTCCCCTGACCTCTCCAAACTGGACTGCCTGGTCCTCCCTGTGCTTGCCGTATTCCTTGTATCCCAGCTAGGCTGTGCCCCTGAGATCTGGGGTCACCTCCGGAATAGAGGGTGTGCTGTGAATCTGACCGTGAATGAATGATGGGGCTTGGGGGGGCCTGGCATCCTTGCTTCAGGCGTCAACAAGCCAAATGGAGGCCCCTGGGTCTGACTACAAGGGAGCTGCAAGGTCAATGCTGAACCTTTCCTGGTTGCCTTGGGCTGCCCTGGGCAATTGCTGCGGGGCCATTCCCAGATCCTGACACTGCAAGCCCCTGGGACTGGCCCAGACTCAAGGACCTCGAGACCAGCCCAAGTCTCCCCGAAGCCAGGACCTGAGCTGATGAACAGCTTTGCCCAATTCCATCCCCTAGACACTTTGGCTTGCCCCATCCCTGGGGCTACAATTTCAACCGACCCCACACTAGGGGTTTTAACCCTAATTCATCAGGCCCAGGGATACCTTGGTATTACCTGAGTATTACCTTTACCACCTTTACCAGAAACATCCTGAATGTTCCCATACCTTTTGTACAGTAGGCCATTCCTGGGCACTGGGAAACAGGAGTACCCTGGTCACACAATCTACCTCTTAGTGCCTCAGTTTACCCATATGTAAACTTGGGCTGCAACTGCCTCTTCTTACATTACACAGATTCAGGAAACATGATTATTAAAGTGCTGGCTGCTCTTTGGAAGAAAATGACTCTATTTTCATGCTTTTGTCCTCTAGCTCCCCACTCCCCACTTCCCTGGAACTTCCTCAAATGTGCTCCATAGGCCAAACTAGAGCGGAAACCCCCAGGACTGGTGGGTGTTGGCAAGTGAATGGTCGCAGGCCTGGGAGCAAACACAGGCAACGATGTTGTCCGAGCACTTTTAGTTGAAAGAGAAGCAAGTTCAAAGCTGCTAGTCATTGAGGTGGAGGTCCTTGGGCCAGACAGTCCCGGCATGTCCAGCCCCGCCCCTGGAGGGCTGCTGGGGGAAGGGACCCATCAGAAATGAGGGGAGGCTTGTAGAAATGGCCTCCAGATGTGGGCCGTCCTGGGCACCAAGCCCAGCTGCTCCAGCTGCAGCCTCGTGGGCCTGTAGGCGTTGAGGTTGCTGTAGGGAGCTGGCGTGCTGTCGTGGGGCCTCAGGGAGAAGGGGGCCTGTGGGCTCAGGGCCCCCCACGGGCCAGGGTGGGGCTGAAGCCTGAGGGGCAGAGAGGGGTTGGGGGCCAGGGGACTGCTGGGCCCCGAGGACGCCGACAGACTCTGGTTCTGGGGGTTGCTGCCCGTAGAGTGGCTGCTGAAGGGGTTGGAGGATGTGTGGTCACTGGCGGAGCGGCTACTGCCACTGAGGCGGCCGGGTGGGGGGTTGCGGCCTGCTCCGGGCTGCAGGGGTGCCACCAGCCTGGGGGACTTTGGGCCCATCACAGGCTTGGAGGAGGCATAGAGGTGGCGAAACTCCTCGTCGAACAGCTCCACCGCCGGGCCCGTAAACTTGGAGAGGATGTTCCGGTGGACGTGTCCGCAGAGCCAGGTGAAGCTGCGGGGGAAGAGGAGAGTGAAGGGTGGGACAGGGAGGCCTCCTGAGTCCCCTCCCCCACAGTACACCCCCCCCAACCCCCACAGGCTCCTCTGGGGGAAGTGGGCTCATGCCTGGCTGGGGGGAAGGACTTAACATTAGCTCTCCCGCCTCTGGCCTGCTCATTTCATCCTGCAGAGCCCCTGCAGGACGACCTTGGTATCCACTTCACGGATGGCAAGACCCACAGTGCAGAAATCAGCAAGTGTTTGCAGGTGAACAGTAAAGGCACCAGACGGGATCTCTGGCCTCAGGGTTCCCTCCTGGTGCTCAGATCCTGGCTCTCCTACTGAAGCCCAAAAGGGTAAGTGAGAGCTGAGTCCCAGTGTCCCCAGCTCTGTGCTCATGAGTCCCCTAGCTGTTGAAGCCCCCTGTGAAATGTGGGAATCCCTGCCCCTTCTAACCAAAGAGGGGTCTGGGCAAGGCAGCTGCGAAACACAGGCCGCTCCTCCGTGGGAGTGGGCTCGGGAGAGGGAACCCAAGGCGGGCACGTGGGAATGGGAATGACACAGCTCGCGTGCACTTGGCCCAGACACAGGGACGTGGGCAGAGGCTTCGGCCCTCCCTCCATTTACTGGCTTTACATGAAAACAAAATGCCGAAGGCATTTATGGATTGCTTCTTACGATTCCTTGATTTAACCAAATTCCTTTTTCTCTCTGATGGACAAGTCTCCTCATTAACCCCCCCCACACACACACCCCCACTCCCACCCAAAACCCTTGAAAAGGCCTGGTGAGAGCACAGAGGCTAATAATGGGCACCCAGGCCTGGAGCGCAACCATGGCAGGATTGTCAGAGGGAGACATGGTTACTCGGAAGTTGGGGGATAGGAATGACCCCCAACCAACGGTCTCAGCCACCCACCCCCACCCCATCCACCAGCCCAGCCTGCAGAGTCCCTGCTCCGAGAGGTGGGGTGGGGCCCACGCAAGGCGGGGCCAATCCTGGGAAGAACAATGAGGCTTTGTTTACGCCTCACCCCCATCCTGGAGCCACCCACACACCCCAGAGAGGTGAGCAGCTGATGCGGGTGCGGGCCAGCAAGGGCACAGGGAAGGTGGCAGACACAGGGACAGCGGGGGACTCCTGGTTACACTAAGACGTCAGTGGCCTTGTGTTGTTTGGAATCAGACTAGATTAGGCCAAGCAACTGCGTGCTTTGCGCAACAAAACAGGTGCAAGGATGCCCTGGCAACTTTTCAGGCTCCCACGCCTCCTGTGCCCTACACCTCAGCAGGGGCCCCCCTCAAGTCCCTTGGTGTCCCTATAGACCCCTGCACAACCGTGCACCACGCTGGGCTTCTCCTCCATACCCTGTGTGGCCCTCATTCCATGCCAGAGCTATGACACTTCATCACCACCCATGGTAGGAAATACACGTCCTTTCTATGGCTGTTTGGTCCTTTGTACATGGAACTGACTTTGTCACAATCTTTGGCTCAAGGGCCACTCTCATGACTAGTCTATTCCTGGCCTGTTTTAATTTTTGTAGCTATTTATTAGTTATTTTAAATAATGTAATAAATACCAACAAACCTACCACCTAAAATAAAAAGTTACCACCTAGCCATACGCTCTCTCCCAGCAACCTATTTTCCAGGTCCGTCCCCCCACGAAAGAGGGAATCATCACCCTGAATCCTGTATTCCAGTTCCCATACTTTCCTTTCTCTGTTTAAAAAAAAAAGTTTTATGTATTCTGGAAAGAAAACATTTTAGTTGTTTTTAACATGTATGTAATATTTTGGGGTTTTTTTCCCACTTAATATTATATTACTAATATTTACCCAAGTTGTCTCTGGTTGCTGTACCTCATTCAATTTTTCCTGCTGTATAATATTTCACTGGTGGCTAGATCATGATTTACTCCTCCCGTCTCCCACTGACAACCATTCGTGTTGCTTCCACAGTATTTCCGTGGCAACCAGTGCTGTAATGAGCGTTCTTACACATGTCTTTTACTGTCCCGTGGACTCAGTCTCTTAGAAGTACCTCTAGGAGGGGAATTGCTGGATTATAGACCAGGTGAATAGAGCTTTAGCAGAAAATTCCAAACTCTTTAGAAAGTCATTTTATCGACTTGCAATCCCACCAGCAACGTAAAAAGATCGTGTACACCCAACATTTGGTATTGTCAGTATTATTTTTTTTGCTACTCAAAAAGGTATAAAATGGCAACTCATTCTAGCCTTCATTTGTATTCTTCTGGTCATGGATGGTGCAGAAGCCCTCTTCGTGTTTTCCCGCATGTTGGCTCCCAGCTGAGATGCCTGCTCCCGCCTCCCACTTGCTCTGCCTCATGCTTCTTTCTCTCATGATTCACGGGAGTTCTTTGTGGTCCTTGACACTAACCTTGCGAGGGCATCATGAAAACCTGCTCCCACTCTGTAACCCGACTTTCAGTTTCTCTCAGGGTTCTTTCAAGAACCAAAGTTCTTCATTGTAATATTGTTGGATTTAGCAATCCGTTATAGTCAAGGCTTTTTTGTGTTCTGTTTAACACAAGAGAGGGGCGTGTGGGGGCACTTGGGTGGCTCAGTCGGTTAAGCAACTGCCTTCAGCTCAGGTCATGATCTTAGGGTCCTGGGATGGAGTCCCACATCAGGCTTCCTGCTCAGCAGGGAGCCTGCTTCTCCCTTGCCCTCTGGCTGCCACTCGCTCTACCTGTGCTCTCTCACTCTCTCTTTCTCTCTCTGACAAATAAATAAATAAAATCTTAAAAAAATAAAAAAAGCATCTGCTTTTGGCTCAGGTCATGATCTCAGCATCCTGAGATCAAGTCCTGCATCAGGCTCCTTGCTCAGCCGGGAGCCTGCTTCTCCCACTGCCCCCCACCCACTTGCGCCCTCTCACTCAAATAAATAAAATCTTAAAAAAAAAAAAAAGAGGGGTGTCTGTGATAAGACACCCAGTCCTTATCCTAAGGTCTAAAAGATATTCATCTATTCTTTTCTACTAAGAGTTTTAAAGTTTGTTTTTGACATTTCAGGCCTTTTAATCTATTGGAAGGTGGCTTTTTTTATTTTTTCTTTTTCTTTCTTTCTTTTCTTTTTTCTTTCTTTCTTTTTTTTTTTTTTTTTTTTTGGTGTATGTGTGAAGTGGAATCAAATTTTCTGTGTGGGGAATTTATTTTTTTCCAGTTCCCCCTTTCCCCACCACTCTAACATGCCCCAGAGACCTCTGGGTTTTCTGCTCTGTTCCATCTGTCAGTCTGTTAGCTCCTCCTCCAATGCCACCTCTTCAGGATTACTCCAGCTCCACAACAACCTGAGCTCTGGCGGAGCCAGTCCTCCTGCCTGTTCTTCAGATTTACAGTGGCTAATCTTGGAGAAAAACATTTTACATCATCACCTACTCACATGTACAAACACAAACATCACCACACAACAGTTTCCAGAACATTCCTTACCTCAGTGTGCTCTCAGTATATTTATTCTATCTTATTTCATTATCAAAAAGAAAAAATATTCCAGGCATCATCCACCAAATCGATTTCATGTCCTGCTAATGTGTAATGAGGCACAGGGTTTGAAATGCTTTGTTCCCCTAGCTACACTGGATGGCCAGGACCTTACATGGACTTTAATTAATTTGTTCATTCATTCATTCATTCATTCATTCAGCAAATATTATGGTCATATAAAATATTCAGGCACTGGATGAACTGTACTTCATGCCAGGAACGCAACAGAGAAGAAAACCAGGTTCTGACACCATGTTTACAATCTTGGCTGAACAAATCCACAGAGAGGCTCTCTAGGAGATGATCTGGAAACTATAAGGTAAGGAGTTAGTGGATTAAGATAGCAAGAATGAGCTCTCCAAAAGAGGGCATACACAGCAAGTGCAAAGGCCCTGAGGCCTGAAAGAGCATGAAAGACTGAAGCAACACAGTGCGCCTACAGCACAGTGGAGAGGAAGGAAAATCCAGCTCAGACAGAGGCCATGGTAAGCATGATTTTTTTTTTCCCCTAGTCGCAGTGACAAACATGGAAGGATTTTAAGGATGCAAGTAATTTGATTTGGCTTATGTTTAAAAATCTTTCTCTTCCTGGTAGAGAAAGCTCAGAGGTAGAATGTGGGTCAGGGCAGGACCGGAATCAGGGCCAGTTAGGTTCTCATGCTGTGCCCTCCAAGGCCCAACCCCAAAGGCACCAACGTCCTGGACCTGCCAGCAGACGTGGGAGCTCTGGTTGATGCCGGGGCACCTTCTAAGCTCATGCTGATCTCAGAGCACACACCACGCCGCTCTGTAGCTCTTTACCCATGAGAAAAATATTGTGGAACTAGACAGTGATCACGGTCGCACACAAGCGAATGTACTAAATGTCACTGAATTACACATTTAAAATGGTTCATTTTAGATTATGTGAATTTCCCAGTAAAAATCAAAGGAAGAATGAGAGAGAATTCCTCAGCTATGGTGGGCCCCTGACTCCAGGCTTGGGCCTTGGATCTGGGGCAGATGCCCCGACAGAGATCTGACCCTTCCCATCCTGGTGGTGAGCGAAGTCTAGTGGCAGCTTAGTTAAGGTCAGAGGTCAAGGTCAGAGGCCTCAAAGTCCTGATGTGTGGTTTGAGGCTCAGATCCCACCTAGAGCCTCATGGCTTGATGTCCAAAGGCCTTTGTCACTCTCCAAGGAAAGAACCAAAGCCAAGAAGGTGGCTCTGGCCACTTGGGGAGAGACGCTCAGTCCCACCGCAGCCTCTCACAGAGCAAGTGCGCGCTGGGTGCCGGGCCCAAGGATTGGAAGCCCGCGGGCGCCCTTTGGCACAGGTGCCCAGTGAAGCAAAACAAGGAGAGAAGCTGTGGGTGGAAATACACAGGAGGCTCAGTGACCCCTGGATGCCGGAGGTGTCCCCTCAGGGCTGCCCGTCTCAGAGCCCCTCCTGACAGAGGAGTTACGAACTGGCTTCCTCCCCCTGCAGGCTGACGGCACCTCACTCAGCAGCCGGGCAAATGGCGGCGCAGGGAAAGGTGGAGAGAAAGCCAAGGGGAGCCAAGGGGAGCCAAGGGGAGCTTCACCCAGCTCGGCTACCCCTTCCCAGGCTCGCTTCCCCCTCCCCCAGCACTCGCTCTGTCTCTTCTCTGTACTGGTTCTTTTTTTTTTTTTTTTTTTTAAAGCAATCTCTACACCCAACAGGAAGCTTGAACTCACAATCCCAAGATCAAGAGTCACATGCTCTACCAACCAAGCTGGTCACAACTGGCTGTTGTTTATCTCCTTAGTTTGAATGGGAACTCCAGAGGGGCACCCCAGCCTTGAAGCATGCCTGGTATGTACCCAGTAGGTCTCTACAGAATGTTGAATGAAGGAAGGAACAGAGAGGTATAGTGACTTGCCCAAGGTCACCCAGCCAGGAAGCTACAGAGCTGGGAATTGAACCTCTGTTGTCTGACTTCTAGTTGAGGCTGCCGCCACAGCCAATCCCTAGCACCAGCCTTAGGTCCCAAAGGGTTTGGACACACTTCTGAAAATAAAACAGGACACAGGCACACATACACACAGAGCCCAAAACGAACTGCACAGCTTTACCAGCACGCCTGAGACAGCTGAGGAGGGAAGAAGAAGATTCCGTGTCCTATTGCAATCTACAGGGAAACGGGGAAGTCCCTCTCTACCCCGAAGCCCCCCTCCCGCCCCCCACCTGCCATGAAGGGTCCAGAAGTCCGCCTTCTGCCCAGGCTGGTCCTGCCTCTGGCCTCATGCATGTGATGAAGTCCCAGCTCGGCCCGAGCTGCACCCTGGGAGCCACCGGGCAGGGATAAGTGCCGGAGCAGCTGGGGCTGCTCTGTGCCAGGCTGAGCCTTGGCCTCCTCGAAGCCTTCAGCAGGGGAAGCCCAGTGCTCACCTGTACGACCCCGACAGGACATATCTCCAGTCCGAGATGATGAACTTCTCCTGGATTTGGCCGGCGAACTTCCGGCCTGATTTGGCACAGTACACCTCTCCTTCCACACTCCGGATGGAGATGTTCTATTGGAAGGGGAGTCAGGGTGTCACCCACTATTTCCATATATATAGATACGTGTTTGCCTAGGAAAACATCTGGAAGGACGCGCAGCAAGACACAGGCAGGGATAATCTCTCATTCATAGGCTCATCGGCTATTTTTATTTTTCTCTTGGCTAAATTTCCTAAATTCTTTTCGTTGTCCTGACATTATCTGAGTCATGGGGGGTGGGGGAAGGGAGGAATAGGGAGATGGTAGAATTTAAACAAAGTGTCAAACTGAAGAAAGAGGAGGACCTAATGCCCAAGGAGCCCTGCGTCTAGGCTCCCAGGGACCACAGAGGCCTGGCAAGCCCAGCCTTGCCTTGTTAGTGGCTTTAGTGACATGAGTCCCTGACCCCAAGCTGGTCAGAGGGAAGTGCAGTCAGAGGGGGTACCTTTGTGGAGACCTCAGTGGGCCCTCGATTCTCCTAAGGAAAGCTGTGTCCACAGCCCAAATCATGGTCCCATTTGTCCCTTCCCCCGCCCCAGGAACACCTGCTGCCCCAGGCCTCAGCCAGAACCCTTGTGATGCTGGAAAAATGAAAAGGTGGGCCAAGCTTGGGGATCTCTGAGACAGGTGGGATCCTGCTGTGATCCCGTGAATGTCCCTGGTCTCTGGGCAGGCTCTGGGAAGGGGATGCCCAATGCTTCCAGCCGCTCCATAAGCTCTGTGACACGCTGAGAGGAGGGCCACATGCCGCCGTCCCTTGGTGGGCAGAGGACTGGCAGGCGTGGCTGGAGTGGGCCATGGTGGCAAGGCCTGTGCTGATGGCCTCCTGTTGAGGTGGTGCGATCCAGGTCAAGCAAGCCTGGAGGCCTATGGCTCAGGGAGGCGCCGGAAGTTCGGCTCCGTCCCAGGCAGTGAGGAGGGGAAGGGCGGGAGAAAAGGTGGATGGCGGGGTCTCCTAGAAGCTGACGGGGCTGAGCCAGAGCCAGTCACCAAGGGACCCACCTACCTGCGTGCTGGTAAGCACTGGGCGGTCCTACGCTGGGCCTCGAGTCAGCTACCCTAAATCTGACACGACGAAAACCTATCTCTGGGTTTCTTTTCTCCTTGCCAGAAGAGGGAAGTGGGTGGGAGTTGGGGTCAGTCCAAGAGGATCAGCTTCCTGTCGGGGCTGTGGAGTCCTCTGCGCCCATGCTGCCCGGGCCTGGAAAGCGCGGCCACGGGGCTTCTTCAGCCGAGAGATCAAGGCACACGCGGCACCGACTACGGCTCACGAGACACCCATGGGCCCCTTTCAGTTCACAGCCCCCGTGGATCTTCGTGAGGCCAAAGAGCTGTAGGCAGGGGTGATGGCAATCTCTTCTGGGTCCGGTCCCGCGGCCTCCCCCTGCTCTCTGGCTCCCTGCCCCTGCCATCTTGGAGGCCACATTTTCTTTACGGTGTAGCTGCAGGAGGAGGGAGGGCTGTCTGTCCTATGCTGGCCTTTGAGCAAGAAATAAACCTTTACTACGCTGAGCCATTGAGATGGGGGTGGTGGGGAGTAAGCACGGCCTAAGCTATCCCATCCTAATACAAAATACCTTCTGGATGCTCGCCAGGGGCCCTACCTTGAGGTGGCAGTCAGAGATCTGGACTTTGTCACACATCTCTTGGAAGAGTGTCACACCTCCCTGGTCCAGGAGCACACACACGAACACCCCACGCTTGTTGGCCGCCTCTAGAATGTCACAGAAGATCTCCACATCCGTGAACACATCCATCAGGATGGCCAGGACCTGGGCCAGGGCAGAGGGGTGGAAACAAAAAGTCAGGGGCCAGGAGCTAACTGGTTTCCACCGAGCTTCCTAGGTCCCGGTGGGCCGAAGACAGCAGCTGCCCTTGCTGCTGCTTTGGAGGAGACAGCACGATGTGGGGGGCTCCGCCAGGGCAGCACTGCAGGGAAAAGAGCTGGAGCAGAGCCCTCGGCGCTGACTCCATCTGTCCAATCCAACCACGGGCCCCCCGGCCTCGGGGCCCACGGCCGGAGCGCAGCATGCACGGGAGGAAGGAGGTAAAGGCAGAGACGCAAAGGCACAAGGAGGGGAGGAAAAGAGCAAGGGGACGTGGTCAGGCAGGTTCCGAGCTGAGGTCTGGATGTCAAGTCCCGGCTGCTCAGCCACGTGGCGCTCGAAGGCACTCCATGGCCACTGGTTTCCCAAAGTTTTTAAGCCACAGCATACTGCCTCGAGCAAAATCCCTGGGGAGACCCTAGAGAGAGACAAGCAAGCAGTCACCTCTCCTGCACAAGCAACGTGTTTGGGCGGGGCCACTGCCAGGCGCCCGATTGGGCGCGAGGCGGGCACATCACCAAGGCCAGACCAATGAGCGCACGGCATCCCCTGCTGGCCCCAGAGATTGGCCCAGGGCCGCTCACATGACCTAAGTTATTCTAATGACAGCCAGCCCAGGACTCGTGTGGGGACTCCGGGAAAGGAGGCGTTCCTGCTGCGCGGGTCCCTCCGGGAGTGGAGTGTGAGCTACGGCTGCCAGCAGCCATCTTGCCGCCACGTGGCCGCTGCCGCCTGAGAACGAGGTCAGCCCCAGGACCACGCACATGGCCAGCCTCACTCGAGCGTCGTTCGAACATCTGGTTTCAGTCATGTTTTGAAGCCAGTCCTACCCTCGACTTTCCCACTGTAGATGTCAATGCATGTTCCTCTTGTGTTTGGGGTTGTTTTCCACGATATTGTGATTTATAAAAAGAAACATGTGTTTGATCTTTGTCCCTGTTTCCAGCACCAAGCTCTAAAGCCTTTGGAATTTCCTAAGTGATGAGAGGGACCGTGATGAAGGTCCTTTGTTATGTTAATGAGGTGACTGTCTGATGGGGGCTGGTGGCCTGGGGAACCTACTGTGTGATTAGAGAGTTGGAATTTTCGGTCCTTCCCACCTCCTTACTCCAAGGAAAGACAAGAGGGGCTGGAGGTTAAATCAACTGCAAATGCCAGTGATGTAATCAGTCGTGCCTAACGAAACCCACCTAAAAAGACCACCGGTTCAGAGAGCTTCTGGGTTGGTGATTTGGGGAGAGCAGAGTGGTCAGAGAAGGCATGGAAGTTCCATGCCCTTCCCCATACTTCGCTGTGTGAATCTCTTCCATCTGGCTGTGCCTGAGCTCTACCCCTTGTAATAAACTGGTAATCTAGAAAGTGTCGTGAACCACTGTAGCAGACTGACCAAACGGAAGAAAAGGGTCGTTGGAGTCTCCTGTCTGAGCTCCGGACTGGCATGGGTTGGGACATCCAGCTGTCTGAGAATTGCTCCGTGGTGGGGGACCCCCACACAGTGGGACTAGAGCAGAATTAGACCCGTGTCACCCAATCAAAAGTCTGTCCTAATACCCAAATCACGGCATATTGACAAGTGGATATGGCAGCCATTAGCAATGATAACTATAACGGTCACATGAAAACTGGTCACATGAAAACATGGTGAAATGTTGAAGCAAAACTGTTGTATGATCCATGCTCGACACAGGTGTATTAGCAATGAATGAATTCAGTGAAAAAGGATAACAGAGCACAAGGTGATAGTCTGTCCAGTATGACTGCGAGTGAGGGAAAGCGGTGTGTAGACACATTAGCAAGCACAAGGCCCAAACTAGTGGACAGGTTTGGACTGGGCAGTATGGCAGTTTTCAACATTACCTGTAATAACGTTCCACCATTTTTCTAATAATTGCTGTGTGTGTGTGTGTGTGTGTGTGTGTTGTGTGTGTATGTGTTATATATAGAGAGATATATGTATTCTATAGAGATATATATGTATATACAGATTTATAGATATATCGACCATCAACACCTGGGAAGTAGCCAGGACAAGAAGAGGGTCATTGAAATAGACAAAGGAGTGTCTGGTACCCACATGGAGCTGACTTCCTGCCCAGATGATGTGACTGTCTGGACAGGGGTAGGAAGGCAGAAAAGATGTTCTAATAGGGAGGCCACGCTCCTTTAGAACCATGGCCCTGTAAGCACACGGTTGTCTCTACACATTTAAACTTACAAGTGCCAGCAGCAACCCAGGCCCTCGCTGCTGGAAGAGAAATGGTTCCTCCTTGAGGGCGGTATAGGTGAGAGGGATGCCTCTCTCTCCCCAGGAGGTCAGTAAATCCTCCCCAGTTGTGTTCCAGCAAGTCCTTGGTTCCTAGAGACAGGGCTGGTGACAGACTGAACAGAGAAGCGGCCATGTTTACCAATACCCCACGTCGTGATTGGAGGGATGCTTGGAAAAACAGGCTCATGATGTCTAGGTTTATCCTGTTGGCCTCCTGTTGGCTCCCAGCGGATTGACTCAAGGCCCATAATCTCTTCAGTCCCTTACAGGGTGTCATGGAATGAATGACGACCTCCCTAATGATATGTCCACATCCTGACCACCAAAATCTGTGGACGTGATCTCCCTTGGAAAAAGTCTCCGCAGGTGCAATTAAGACTTTCAAGATGAGGGGCACCTGGGTGGCTCAAATGGTTAAGTATCTGCTGCCCTGGGAATGAGCCCCACCTAGGGCTCCCTGGTCAGTGGGGAGTCTGTTTCTCCCTCTCCCTCTGCCTGCCCCCTGCTTGTGCGCACTCTCTCTCAATTGAATCAATAAAATATTTTAAAAAGAGAGAGAGACTCTCAAAATGAGATCATCCTGGATTATCCAGTGGGCCCTAAATCCAATGGCAAGTGTCCTTGTAAAAGACACTCTGAGGGGGCTCTTGGGTGGCTCAGTGGGTTAAAGCCTCTACCTTCGGCTCAGGTCATGATCTCAGGGTTCTGGGATCGAGCCCCACATTGAGCTCTCTGCTCAGCAGGGAGCCTGCTTCCTCCTCTCTCTCTGCCTGCCTCTCTATCTGCTTGTGATCTCTGTCAAATAAATAAATAAAATATTTTGGAAAAAAAAAAAAGACACTCCGAGGAGACACGGGGTGGGAGGAATGCGGGGGCACATGAAGTCAGAGGCAGAGGCTGGAGTGAAGTGGCCACAAGCCAAGGAACGCCCGTAGCCACCAGACGCTGGGAGCAGAAGACAGGACCCTCCCCGAGAGACTTCAGAGCAAGGAAGGCCCAGCTGATACCTCCATGTTAGGTCTGCCTTTCAGAGCAAGGAGAGAATATCTCGTTTTAAACCACCAGCGGGCTGGTAACTTGTCTCAGCAGCTCTGGAACACTGAGACGGAGGGGTCACATACTGTCCAGACGACAGTGCTCTCCCGGGGTGTTAGGGAGCTGTGGCTCCAGACCCCATGTTACTGGAAATGAGCTGAGTGCCTTCCGACAACTCACTTACCCTCTCTGGGGCTCAGTTTCTTTACCGATAAAACACTGCTCAGGGCGCCTGGGTGGCTCAATGGGTTAAAGCCTCTGCCTTCGGCTCAGGTCATGATCTCAGGGTCCTGGAACCAAGCCCTGCATCCGCATCCGGCTCTCTGCTCAGCAGGGAGCCTGCTTCTCCCTCTCTCTCTGCCTGCCTCTCTGTCTCCTTGTGATCTCTCTCTGTCAAATAAATAAATAAAAAATATTAAAAAACAACAAAACACTGTTCAAAAATAGAGCATTAGCTATCATTCAAGCTGCATCTAACCCTGAGCCCAGATAATATAAATGAATCCAGGTGCAAAAAGTAAAGGTTTTTATTCTCGTTTGACTATGATTTTTATGGGCCTTGTGAGCAAGTATGAATCATGTTAGAATAACGCCATGCAAACATGTTTTAGTCCAGGTTGTAGAAGAGGATTAAAAGTAGTGCGACACCTCTAGGGGCATAAAAAAGAACTAAAGTAGGCAGTCCGCTGGACCAGCACGTTGGGGTAGGGTTGGCCGGGAAGAAGGAGGTATTTCCGCCACCTCTTGCTAAAGAAGGAAGCCCAGCCTGCCAGGCGGGCTTGGCAATTTGAGCAGCACAGAGACCCAGGAGCCCCGCTAGGGGAGATGCTGGTCCCCTGGGGCAATCCCCAGAAGCAAGGGTCATCCTGTGGGGACCTCAAATCCTGGCTGAGAGTCCCTCACCCACTGCCCACTGCCGGACAGATGTAAGCTCCCCGGGGCTGGAAACCCTGCTGCTTTGGGAATAGCAGGGTGGAGGAGGGGAGAGGGGGTTTGGGTCCTACTGGGGCCCAGCTTGTTGGGGACAATCTCACCCCATCCCCCACTCTCTGCCTCTACTTCTCTTCTTGCCTCTTTCTCTTGTCTGTGCTGAGGCTCCTTTGTTTTCCCCAAACAACAGCAATAGCACCGGCACCAGCACCGTGGAGTCAGCGGGAGCAGCCTTTTATGGTTTTGCAAATCTCCCCGCTATCTGGCCTGCCAGGAGCCAGCTGCCTTCTGGGATCTGCTTCTGCAGCGATCCGCTGTGCTGGGCTGCGTGGGTGGCGGCGTGGGAAGGCCGGCCGGCCTCTCACAGAGGACTGGTTAGAGAGGGCATGACCTCCCAGGCCTGCTGAACCCATCTGGGAACCCTCAGGGATCCTGACCACACTCAGAGGATGCATTCATCGTGCTGTTTCCATCTTTTAGGATGTCTGCCATCCAAGGCCAGCTCACACCTTGCTAGAAGCACGAGATGCACACCAAGTCAATGGTCCTCCTGCCCTAAATGACCCCAGGGCCATGTCCCAGACCATGAGCCCAGAGCCTGCTGACATGATTCCAACCAGCCACTCCTAAGCTGCTCACCCTGCCTGCCCTCCCCTGCCTGAACAAGCACAATAGGGGCCTGTGCGCCTGCATTCCCCGCGCCCCCCCCCATGCTTCCTGTGTGGTCCCGCATGGTCTGCTCTGCCCCCTGCTTCTAGGGAGCTGTGAGCAAAACCTTCTTGTTTCATGCCGGTCATTTCCATGCCTGTATGTCGTCCCACCCATCCCTCTGACACCTCCTGACCTTTGCCTGGAATCCCTTTCCCTTCCTCTCTGCCTGACCACCTCTTACTCAGCCTGTGAGACTCAGCTTGGAGGCCCCCTCTTCCAGGAAGCCTGCCTTAGTCACCCTGTCCTCCCCTTCCAGGCACAGAGGCTTGCTCACACCCAGGGCTGCCTCCCAATCCCTGTTGTCTTCTCCTTCCCTACTTGGGCAGGCAGAGGCAGGGAGCTCTCCAGAGGGAGGTCGGCCTCTGGATCCGTTCTGCCACCTGGGTCCAGGGCCCGGCTGTGAATTAGGTTTTGTGGCATAAAGGAATGCGAGGAATTCCTGCTGGTTTAGAAGTGGAAACTGGTCTAAAAACCACCGAGCTTGGGCTGGCTCTGTGTGTTTTCCTCTCTGGAGCCTGAAGCCACAGGGGGAACATGCAAACCTATCGACTTTCCAGCTCTGAGTGGACAGGACAGCCTGTGACTAGGTTCCCACCTCCCTGGCATCAGGGCCTGGGACAAGCGGGCGTGGTGGGGACTGCGGCAAAGGGGACTTACCCACCAAAAAGCGGGTCTTGGTGGGGCGCCACTCAGCAACAGAGAGCCAGCTCTTCCCATCTGCTGAGAGGAACTGGAAATGCTTACTTTTAGGTGAAATCCTCAGGTTTTGAAGTGTCTTTTTTTTTTTTTTTAGATTTTATTTATTTATTTGACGGACAAGGATCACAAGTAGGCAGAGAGAGAAGGTGAAGCAGGCTCGGAGCCCGATTCGGGACCTGAGCCGAAGGCAGAGGATTTAACCACTGAGCCACCCAGGTGCCCCTTGAGGTGTCATCTTAAATTGAGAACGTGCTGTACTAGAGAAACAAAGGATACAGGCCGGAGGGCGGGGCTTAGGCCCACAGAGAGACAGAAGCCTCAGCTGGGTGGGGAAGAGGGGACAGGGGAGGGACTCAGCGGCAGGATGGCGGGTGGGGACTGCTTCACCAGCCCTGACTGGCTTCCTTCCAGGGAGCCTCACTCACCCCCAGAACTGCAGCTGTGGTTGAGAACTTCCCCGACACCACTGGTCCCTACCCCTCGGGTGGGCACTGACCTTCCCTCAGACTGACCAGAGCCAGCCCTACTCTGGATCACAAGTAGGCAGAGAGAGAAGGTGAAGCAGGCTTGGAGCACGATTCGGGACCCGTCACGGAAACATGAAATCCCTGAGACCTGAAAAGCCAGTGCTCCACCCATTGTCACCTTAACTAGTTTTCCAGAACTGCACTCCTTTCCCCTCTTCCACACACAGCCCTGCCACCCGAAGCTGGGCTTTTCCTGGAGCCTTCAGCTTTCAGTAGCAGGACTGGGAGCCTAGCAGAAAATGAGCTTAAATACCAGCTGGTCCTTTGCTGAGTCTACTCTTGTCCCTCTGCAGCTTCAGGAGGGGGGAGTGGGCGGCCAACACCCCGTTCGGACTCGTCCCCCCAGCCCTTCCCCAGCTGCGGCAGGAAGCCACCGATCCCATCCGATCCGGAGCAGCGGGAGAACTGATGACCAAATGCCTGTCACTGTGCCTGAAATTCTACCGGCCAAGCTCTGGTCATGAAATATATTTCTTCTTTCTTCTTCCTTTTTTTTTTTTTTTTTAAAGATTTTATTCATTTGAGAGAGAGCCTGCATGAACAGTGTGGAATGGCAGCGGGAAAGGGAGAAGCAGTCTCCCTGCTGAGCAAGGAACCCCACCTGGGACTCAACCCCAGGACCCTGGGATCATGACCTGATCCGAAGGCAGACCCTTAACCCACTGAGCCACCCAGGTGGCCCTATTTTCTTCTTCTAAAGTCAAGTATTAAAATGTAAATATTCTGGGGAGAAACCTTCTCTGTGCCTATTCTGTCTTCTGTCTGACCACCGGCTGGATTGAGGGGCTGCTGGGTCATTTGTGGACAGACAGGTCAAACCTGAGTCTGAGAGGACAAGGGACAAGTGTGTGTCTCAGTGGTGGCCCCTTCATTTGGAAGCACAGAGGTGAGGGGACTGGCCCTAGCTGGGGTGGGTGGGGGGCAGTGGACAAGAAAGGGACTTGGGTGCTGCGTCCTGTGGAAGGAGTAGGCCTTCGTCAGGTGGAAAGCAGGGAAGTTGAAGGGGTCCCAGGCAGAGGGAACAGCACATGCAAACCTCTGAAGACTGAGCAAGGAGGGCTGGAGAGTCTGCAGGTCCCTAGGGACAGAGCGGCCGGAGCCGAGAGAGGAGATGGAGAAGTTGTGAGCCATAAGGAGTTTGCTCTTCCCACTGTGGGCAACTAGGAGCCATGGAGGGCTCTAAGCAGAGAAGGGACCCACTTAGACTTGAAGTATAGAAGAAGTGCTCTACAGCCACATGGAGACTGGAAGATGAAAGAGGAGGGGCAGGCAGGAAGCGATGGCAGGAGTTCCAGTGAGGGGTGGTGGTGGTCTAGCCCCAGACCATGACAGGTGGGATCAGAAAGTCAGTAATCCAGGGCAAGACAGACAATAACATCCGTGACCCCTTCCTCAGCCCCAGTCTTCTGAACTCCATGCCTTGGGCAGGACCCACCCCCCCCTCCTCCTCCACCAGCACCCTTCCTCCCCCTACCCCAAGGCCAAGGAGACACAGGCGCCTGCCCCCCATACCTGGCTGGTCCGGGTGATGCAGCGGCGAATGAGGTCTCTGATGTTGTTGTGCTTGTCCGCCTGGAAGTACACGGTGGCGCTGGACTTTTCCTTCAGGTAGGGCTTCTGGGCTGAGGCCCAGGTGTGCAACAGGGTCGGCTCGCTGCCCTCGGAGGCCACAGGGAAATAGGTTCCTGATGGCAGGGAGCAGGAGTCCAGTCCCCGGGGACTGGCCTCTATTCCTCCTGGGGGCTCCGGGGCACAAGAGGGCTCCTTGGCCTGGGCCTGGATGTACTGGGCCTCCACCGAGGACAAGAAGTCGACCTCACCTTCCTGGCCGAGTGCCTGCCAGTAGGCCTCGGGCCCCCCATCCAAGAGGGCGTCTGTGGCCAGCCGGGCACTCTCATTGTCGCTGAAATCGGCCCTGGTCGGCCGGACCCACTGGCTCTTGACCTCTTCCAGGCGTTTCCGGATCTTGCCCACATGTCTCGACCAGCTCATGTTGCCCTGTACCCCGGTTGTGGCGGACAGGAGGCTGTGGCTTGAGCTCCTCCTGATATCAGGGCAAGCGGGCCATGCCACGGCGGAGAAGAGCCCTTAGTGCTCCTGGGAAGCACCCGGCATCCACCTGCCACCTGTCACGCCCGCTGGAGGAAGTGATTTACCGCAGGGCGAGCAACACGTCCTGGGATCGGGATCATCATCACAGCCAGGCCCTGGCTTATCTCAGCGCCTCCGCCCTGCCCGCGGGCTGAGGGCCGGCTCTGTCACGCCCGGGCACACTCAGCCCTGGGAGCCGTCCTCTGCACTCATTGCACAACTCTCCAGAGCCCCTGCCTGCCGTCAGAGCTGGGAGGCTCTCCCAGCACCCTCGGGCCTTGGCCCCTCCTGTGCTTCTGTTCCAACGCAGTTGGTTGGAGACAAGAACTCCCCTGCAGGGGAAAGAGGTTTCCCTGAGAATGCGCCAGCCTGGGGAGGGGAGTTGAACGCAGGCCAGACAGCGGTGTCCACCAGGCACACTCCTTTCTTCCAGTGACAACGAGGTCCCAGCCTCCGGTCCTCTGAGAAAGCTTTGCTCTGCTCCCTCTCTCCCCTGCTGTGTTCGCCAGAGAAGCTCTGGTCTGGGGACTGCATGACCTGCTTGGAGTACGGCCTGGAGAGGACCCTGTCACTGGGTCTGGGTCCGGGGCCTTGGGACCCATCTTCTCCCAGCTAGAGAGGGCAGGTGGCAGCAGGTGTGTTTGAAGTATAGGAACACTAAGGGAGAAGGCACATTTCTTTCCAGGTCAGGTCATGGTCACATCCATGTCGGTGGAATGCCATGTCTGTCTTTGGGTTCAGCCAGAAACAGACTGAGACAGGATTCGAGTATAATAAGTAGTTCGTTGGAAGGTGATTCCAAGAAGGGCCAATGGGGAAGGGAGGAGTGAGACAGGACGGGCGGGGAGCCCCCAGGGGCCATGATTACGAGCAGGCCACTGTGGTGCACATCTGAGATTTATGAACAATGAGGGACCATGTGGGGTCATTCCCGCAGGGCCCCCTGGGAGACGGCATAGAGTACATCTTAGAATTTTGCGACCCAAAGGGTGAGAATTTATCTGCCAGCCTCCATCTGTCATCGGCAGAGGGCTGCTCCTGGGCCCACACTGACCCTCAGGAGCGGGGCCTGCCCTGTGCTCACCAGGCACGACCCTGAAGCCAGAGGAAGCATGTGGTCCGACTCTCAGGGGCGCGGCCAGAGACTCACCGGAGAGGGGAGGGCTAAGAGGATGGAAGTAGGGCCCCAGGAACATCTGCTGAGAAAACTGCCAGAACACCGGGACTGTGAGGGTCCTCGCAGGGCTGGCATAGAGGAGGAGCCAGAAGTCTGTCTGGGGCTCATCTATTCTTTGGAAGAAAATGGCTGTCGGCATCTTTAAGCAGTGGTCCAAGTAGCTCGGTCCAGTAGGAGGCAGTATTTGTAAAGGTACAGTCCAAAGTAGAGAAAAAGAGATTTCTTCTCTTCTTTTGAAGGTCATTGAAGAAATCCAGTTCACACCCTCAGCGACCCTCCCTTCATCAGATGTTATCTAATCCCTGGACCCCTCCCGACGACAGGCTCACAAACTCTCTGCCCAGTGCTCGCTGGCTCTGTGCCCTTCCACCTGTCCCTTCCGCCAACTCTCGCTGATGGAGATAGGCTTAACCTCTTCCCCACTTTCTCCTCTGAGCCTGCCTCTTCTCTGGCCCTCCTCAGTCCCTTCTCCCATTCTGTGTCACCTCTATCCAGTGCCCAGTCTGATGAAACCAACCTGGGGAGGGGAGTAATGATGCCTGGGGTTTGTTCTGGGTCACACCCCGGCTGGAAATCTGACCGTGGCTCTCCATGGTCTGCCTTGTTAAGTACTGTTTCCAAGGTTTGCATCGGAGACGTGTGCTTGAGACCTGTGTCGATATGCCTGCCTGACCTCTCCTACACTTGGCTATGCTTGAGTGCTCTCTGCAGGCTAGCCATCTGTGCTGAGAGAGACACTGATTAGTGGGCCTCATTTCACAGATGAGGAAGCCAAGGCTCAGAGAGGTTGAATAACTTGTCCAAGATCACACAGCTGCTGAGTGGCATAGCCTGGGCACTGTCACCCCAAAGCCCATGTGTTTTCCACTATGCCAAATTTCACCCTTTCCCTTCTCCTCCCCTTTCTCCTTCTACCCTTAGAATAATCCACATCCTCTTACCAGTTCCAGAATGTATGCAGGGGAGAATGAAAGAAGGGGGGTGGGTGGGATGGGGTTCTCCTCTCACTCAGGCCCAATTCTCTTTGTCCGATGAATAAATGATTGAGGGACCCCTGAAATGGTGGCTGGTCTCCCACACCTGTGGGGACTATTTTTACCTGTGCACTTGCAGAGTAGTTCTAATTGAAGAAAAAAATCTAAATGGAACTTTCACCTGTAGAGCTGCTGGAAGAAGATCCTGTTTCTGCTTTCCTTATCTCCATGCCCTCACAAGACCCAGAGATTCTACTTAAACCCTTCAGAATAGACAGAGATACAGTCTATGTACGTTGGCATACCTATTCCCTTATTTCTGCGTCCCTGGCAGACATGACTAGTGGATCCCAGAACTCTTTCCCCAGGAACTGAGAACCAACCCTCCCTGCCCTATATGGGGCTGAGATAGAAGCCCTCCCCTGGAGGAATCTTAGATGTACCATAAGCACTCCATTTGCTGATGAAAGAACAGAAGCACAGAGAGGGGACATCACGCATCTGGTTGTCTGTGCAGGTCACCGGGGTTGTCCTTCCCTCCTCTCCCTCACAGCCCTGCCCCTGTGGACCATCACTGTTCCCCTACCTGGGATTGTGCACCTGGACCGGGAAGTCTGGCCAGCTGTTGAGCCACACCTTCATATGATGAGAAATCCTTACCAAAGACCCCTGAGTTGCAGGCACGGTGGGTTGCAGAGGACTTACCTCCTTCCGGCCTTCTGCCTGAAGCGTAGTCTCCCCGGCAACTGATGACACCCACAAGGAGAGGAAGAATATTAGCCAATGAATGAAATGAAGGGTGGTGGGGCTTGGCAGTTTGGGTTCTTCACCCAAGGGGCATCTGGCAATGTCAGGCATTTTCGGCTGTCACAGCTATGGGGGTGAGTCTGCTGGCAACAGGGGTGTGTAAGCCAGGGATCCTGCTGCATCCTACAATGCACTGGATGGCCTCCACGACAAAGAGCTAACTGGCCCCAAATGTTGATACTGCGAGAGCCTGGGCAGGTACGGCCTGGACACCTCGGAGGGGATGACGGACCCTTGCTCGTGTTCAGCATGTTCCCTCTGCCGGAAGTCCTTGCCTCCACCATCACAACTTGGTCTAAGCTTTCTCAGCGTCCGGTATCTTTCTGGATTCTTACCTTCCCTGCTAATTCCCAAGCTGCTGACTTCCTTCCTCCTCTGAACCTACCAGGTGCTCACAGAACCGGCCTCAGTCAGTCTTGTACTGGACGTGCACCTCATCTTCCCACGGCAAGGGAGAAAGCATCATGCCTTCGGAACAGGCACAACTGGGTTCCAATGACACTCTGTGACCTTGGGTAGGTAACTCGGATGTTGTCACTGAGCTTTGCTTTCTGTCCATATACTATATAAGCTGACATTCAGCGAACATGTCCCGTGCACCATTCTAAGTGCTTCATGGGTATGAACTCACTCAGTCCTCAGAGCAACCCCAAGAGTAGGTGCTCTTACCATTTCTGTTTCATGGATAAAGGAACCCGAAGCTCAGAGGTTACCGAACTAACTTGCCTGAGGTCCCCCGGCTGGGAAGTGGCTGAGCCAGGAGCTACACGTGGGTGGTCTGGTCCCAGAGTCCCACCCAGTAGCCACTAGAGCCTTCTGCCTCCCTCATGGGGTGAACCTCAGAGTGCATGAGATTTAACTGGGAAGCCCTGTGTCATAGGTGCTCAAACCTTGTTCCATTTTTGCTTCCCTTTTCAGCCTGACACAGCTCCAATATTTTTTTCTGAGCTTTTTACATAGCTGATATAGTACTCTACATGCAATTTTCTATCTTGCCTTCTTTAGGAACATAACATTATTCAGAAGTCTGTTTCTCATGTCACTCAAAAATGTCCATGCTTCCCTCTCCCTTCTCCTCCACCCCGTTTCTCGATGAACAGCTTATTTATTTACTTATTAAAGATTTATTTATCTGAAAGAGACAGACAGCAGGGGGAGGGGCAGAGGGAGAGAAAGAATCTTAAGCAAACTCCATGCTAAGTGTGTCCTGACAGGGGGCTCGATCCCATGACCCTGATGAGATCATGATCTGAGCCAAAAATCAAGAGTTGGATGCTTAAGCGACTGAGCCACCCAGGCACCCCCTTGCTGAACAGTTTAGTCCTAAAGCCACTTGGGTGGGCTAGAGCCAGGAGGGTGACGGTGATGAGGAGGGCACAGTGGCCTGGAGCAGGTGTCAGAGCCCGAGCTGCGTGAGGAAGTGCAGAGCGAGGAGGGTCCACGTGGGGAGGGGGTGGCCTAGAATGGGGTGTCAGCTCCTGAGCCGGAAGAGGTGACCAGGGAAATACTAGAATGGTTATGTATAGGGACACTAATCGAAGAAATAAATATTTTGGGGCACCTGGGTGGCTCAGTGAGTTAAGCCTCTGCCTTCATCTCAGGTCATGATCTCAGGGTCCTGGGATTGAGCCCTGGTATGGGGCTCTTTGTTCAGCAGGGAGCCTGCTTCCCCCCTCCCCCGCCTGCTGCTCTGCCTACTGTGATCTCTTGCTCTCTCTCTGTGTCAAATAAATAAAATCTTTTTTTTAAAAAAAGGAAAAAAAGAAAGAAATGTTTTAAGGGTGATGGAAACCAAGTCTCTAGCCATTAGAACAGGGAGTTAAAATAAAGAAAATGGGGAGACCAGAAAGAAATCTTGAAGGTTGTATATAAACTGGAGATGGTGGTTTGAACTCAGTTTCAAATATTGATAATTTAGAGGTGTTTAAGTTACCTGAATATAATATATATTATATATATATATATAATATAAATGATACATGTATACTCATAGAAAATGAATGATATAAAATATAAACAGAACATATAAATATATGCGAGTATTCCCTGGTTCCCTGGTTTGTCCACTGACAGCGACACTCCTATAATGATGTCTACACGGAGGGCCCAGGG